CCGTTCATAAAAAATCATATTATTTCAAAATCTACAGTTAAATAATACCAGAAACTACAAGAAAATATCAAAAATTTCTAACTGAAAATAAATCATAAAATCAGATTAAAAAAGAAAATTTATTTAAAAAATCCTATAATCATTAATCTTTACGAAACCGATTAAAAATCATTAAAAGCATTAAAACCTGGAGCCGTTCATAAAAATCATATTATTTCAAAATCTACAGTTAAATAATACCAGAAACTTAGAACTTACTAGAAAATTTCTAATTGAAAATAAATCATAAAATCATTTAAAATGCCCCGTAAAATAATGCTAGAAACTTAGAATTTAAAAATTTTAAAAACGAGGTAAAAACCAAAAACCTATAACTGAAAATAAATCGTAAAAAATCAATCAAAATCCTATTATTATTTCAGCAGGAAAAAAAGTCACTAATCATAAATTCAAAAAACGTGATGAAAAAGCTTTTATTTAATAAATCAGCCAAAAAACAATTAAACTGTTACCTTCGACGAAACTACTAACAGTCATTAACAAGATGGCGATCGAATCTAAAGTATTAATTTTTATAGGCAGAGGAATGGTCCTACATGGAAATATACGTAAAATTGAGAGCGGCATGGAAAGGCGCGAATACAAGAAGATCATTTTAATGGCCAAAAGCAAATCAGAGAACAACAGAGACGCGGAGATCCGACGGGTAAGTTATTACTTGCATGTCGTTGCTTCCAGTTTCTGCATTTTTTCAGATCGCGTCGTAAATACAGATTTAATAAACAGTCTTCTATACTGGCTTAGATCTGTATCGCGTCGTGTAGGGATCTATCTTAAACGATTACCTAAGGGTAATCATTGGATTTTTCCTTACCAACGAAAAAGGGTTCAGCCAAACGTGAAAATACTTAAATCCGTTCGTGAACGCGAAAGGCCTTCGGGCTATCGAAACGAAAAAACGGCTGTCTTGTGATAGGAAATACGCGCTGTACTCCCAGCGCCATTCAAACATCTCGACGGCTGTGTTTCAAACTAAACAGATCCGTTGTGATGATAAGCGGCTTTTCAATGACTTTACCATTAAAAAAAAATATTCTATATTTAATTTTTCATAAAAATTTTTCTATTTTTGTAGTTTGACGCAATTTTTTCTATATATTTAGTAAAGTACAGTAAGACGTAACTTTTTCATAATTAATTTTTCATAATTTTTCATAAAATAATTTTTCTATTTTTGTAGTTTGATGTAATATTTAATTTTTCATAAATTTTTAGTAAAGTACAGTAAGACGTATTTTTTCACTAATTTTTACATATTTAATTTTTCATAATTTTTCTGTCTTTAGTAAGTACGGTTTGAGGTAATTTTCGTAAAATAATTTTTTCTATATATAGTAAAGTACAGTTTAACGCTAAATTTTTCATAAATTTTTAGTAAAGTACAGTAAGACGTAATATTTAATGTTTCGTAATTTTTCTGTCTTTAGTAAAGTAGGTGCAGTAAAACGTAATTTTTTCATTAATTTTCTATATTTAATTTTAATAAATTTTTCTATATTTTTCATAAAATAATTTCTCCGTTTTTAGTAAAGTACAGCAAGACGTAATTTTTTCATAATTAATTTTTCATAATTTTTCTGTCTTTAGTAAGTACAGTAAGACGTAATATTTAATTTTTCGTAATTTTTCTGTCTTTAGTAATGCAGTAAGACGTAATTAATACACAAAATAATTTCTTTATTTTCCATATATAATTTTTCTGTCTTTAGTAAGTACAGTAAGACGTAATATTTAATTTTTCGTAATTTTTCTGTCTTTAGTAAAGTAGGTGCAGTAAGACGTAATTAATACACAAAATAATTTCTTTATTTTCCATATATAATTTCTCCGTTTTAGTAAAGTACAGTAAGAGGTAATTTTTCATAATTTTTCTGTCTTTAGTAAGTACGGTTTGAATTAATTTTCGTAAAATAATTTTTCTATATATAGTAAAGTAGTAGTAACGCTAAATTTTTCAATATTTAATTTTTCGTAATTATTTTTAGTAATTTATCTATTTATAATTTCTCCGTTTTTAGTAAAGTACAGTTTTTGATCTAATTTCTACGTAAAATAATTTTTCTGTCTTTCATAAAATTTTCTATATTTTTTCATAAAAATTTCGATATTAGTTTTTGACGTAATACTAAATTTTTCTATATATTTAATATTTCATTAATTAGTAAAGTACAGATTTTCATAAAATAATTACGGTTTGAGGTAATTTTCGTAAAAAACTTACCAACTGAACCAAGGAAACACCACAGAGCGCAGGGTTATAGGGTGGGGGCGGTTCTTTGATAGCCATATGGGGCCTCAACAACAACAGCAAGTTGGAAACCCCGGCAACTCAATTCCACAAAATATGTTCGCACGCATGCGCACAAACGAAAGCGTTATCTATACATGCCCCTTGAAGGCGACGACCCTTATCTTATTAGGACTGGTATTACAGACGCCTAGGGCTGTACTCTCCCGCATGAAAGCGGTACCTGTCACGCTAACGTGAGGAAGAAAGTCGACCACCAGCTCACCACCAAACCCCGCGAGCACCACACCTCCGTACACCTCAACAGATCAGCGAAGAAAGAACGATTTAAAGCTTAAGATGCGCACCGTTACCACCACGCATATCACGTGTTTTCTACATCTTACGTGTGCTATCAACCCGTATGTGCTTCGATTTACACACAACCAAATGGGGAAACGTATCAGACTAGGCGGAATCTTAAAATTAGCATTGATTCTTATGGTCGGAGCGCACAAATCGTGGATATCAGGGGGCCTTTTTGTTATCGGTTAGCCGTTGTTTGACGAGCGCGCGCGTGGGCGTAATTATCAAGTGTGCCACAACTTACACGTGTTTTAATGGGGAAAACGCTACACTTTACCAAATATCGTAAATTAACACTGATTCTAATGGCAAAGACGCACAAATCGTAAATTTTAAGAGGCCTTTTAGATATCGACCGTTAGAGACAGGTTCGAGATTAGGTTTCGAGCGGAGTATAAAAGCCGGATGCGGCGGTATATCTGGTATTTCCATTCAGTACGCTGTCTTGAGTCTTATCTACACGCGCTGTTATCATATTTGATTTTTTAAAAAAGGTGTTGAAACGTCTTCAATAAAGGTGAGTTTTTAAAATATGGCGTGTCGCATATCAAATTAAACGTCTTGCAGTAAGATAGTGGGTTTCATCGATATTTTTTCATTTGTTCGCGATCGATGATATGCTTGCCCGTAGTAGGTAGAAAGCGCTCACTATCTTTTCGTTTTACTCACTTTCAAAATTTTTTTCATTTTTGTCTTATACTTTTTCTGAGAATATACGCCCTATTTTTTAATCAAACACATCTTAATCACGTGACCTCTTTTCAGGCTCAAAATTATATCTCACCGACACCGGTTACCTGAAAGGTAATAACTACGCGCCCCGTGCGATCTTCTAGCCAGTCTATCTTTGAAGTGTTAAGATCACAGTTTTCTTCTCGTGCTCTACGCTATTCAAGATGTCTAAATTTTCGATCGTCAAAGACACAACCCGCATGGTCCGCCGCTTCAATTTGATGGGGCGTACCTTGGAGTTTAAAATCAAGCCGGTGCCCGTCGGTGAAGAACCCGTAGGATGGGTTAAAGAGGCAATCCAGCAGGCCATAGCTAAAGGTGCCGAAGGTCTTAACCCCGAAGACCAGGTGTCTTTTTCGTTTTGTTCGAAGGACTTTGCCAGAGGCGATGGCTGGGTTCGTTTCAAACCAGCTAAAGAAGTTACCTATGACGACGTGTGGGACGTCATCTCCAGCGTCTACCAATCCAACTCTGCGGGGCTAAACACCGAGACGTTCTGTCTGGGCGTGACCTCTGTCCGAATGCCCGCAGGGAGAGGCCGGGGCAAGAATTACAACACTTTCGACGAGGAGTGTGCCAGGCGGCAGGGCATCATCGTCATAAATAATAAAAAAGACAATTTATGCCTGCCGCGCGCCCTCGTCGTAGCAAAAGCCTACGCGGACAAAGACAAGGACCAAGCCAAGGTGCGCAGAGATATCGGGAAGATCCAGACCCTGCGGGCCAACGAATTATTACAGGCCGCCAATGTCGCCATTCCCGAAGAAGGTTGCGGTATCCTCGAATTGCAACAGTTCCAGCGGTATCTCACCAACTACCGCATCGTCGTGTACCAGTACGGTACCAAAGGTCGCGACGTGATATTTAAGGGTACCACAGAGGGCATCTCGTTAAATTTGATTTATCACGAGGGTCATTATAATGTTATCACGTCACTAACGGCGGCCTTCTGTTGTGATTATTACTGCGAGAGGTGCAACATACCGTACGACCACAAAAACAAACACAGGTGTGGAGGTACTTGTCCTGCGTGCCAGAAGTCGCCCGCATGCCCAGAAGACATCGCAGTAACCTGTACCGATTGTCAGCGTAGCTTCAGGGGGCAGCAATGCTACGATAACCACTTGACAAATATCTGTGCTCAAATTCGTCGTTGCCCCGACTGTCTCAAGGTAAAAAGGGGCAGAACCCATATCTGCGGGGAGATATATTGCAAGATATGCAACGTCCACGTCCCCGCAGACCACCTGTGTTATATGCAGCCTAACACAGGGAAGCCTAAAACCGACGGCCTTCTCTTTGTCTTCTACGACTTGGAGACGCGACAAGAGACAGCGAGGCCGGACGGGTCCCTCCTACATGAACCAAATCTCTGTGTATTCAAGCAATGCTGCGACACATGCCTCAACACGCCGCAGAAAATCTGTAGTAAATGCGGGGTTAGACTGCAGATTTTAAGGTGCAATGACCCCATTTCGCCGTTCCTCCACCACCTCATGACCATGAGGAAAAATTCAAGCAGGTGGTGGTTATGGCTCACAACGGGCAGGCCTTCGACCACCAGTTCTGCCTGAATTACATCCTGACACAGACGGACCTCACCCCCGAACTCATCATGCGGGGTACCAAAATAATTTCCATGGTCGTGGGGAACGTAAAGTTCCTGGACAGCCTAAATTATTTCCCCATGGCACTGTCCAAGCTGCCCAAGGCTTTCGGCTTGGGCGATAATTTCAAAAAGGGGTACTTCCCACACCTTTTCAATACTTCAGCCAACTCAAATTACGTAGGACCCCTACCGGCAGCAGAATACTATGACCCCGACAACATGAAACCAGAAGATCGTTCCAAGTTCCTCGAGTGGCACGAGGAACACAGGGATGACGAGTTCGATATGCAGCGCGACCTAGTCGAATATTGCATATCGGACGTGGAGATCCTGACGGCTGCATGTCTCAAGTTCCGACAGCAGCTGATGGAAACGGGGAACGTCTGCCCGTACACGGAAGCCTGCACTATAGCCTCTGCGTGCAATAAGGTGTACAGGCGCAACTTCCTCAAGCCAAACACCATCGGCATCATCCCCAAAGGCGGCTACAGATGGCGCGACAACCAAAGCAAGATAGCCATACAGTGGTTAGTGTGGGAGGAACACCAGCGACAAATAAACATTCAACACGCTGCTAAACAGCAAGAATCTCGAGTCGCCGGTGTAAAAGTCGATGGGTACTGCGAGGAAACCAAGCAGGTGTTTGAGTTTAACGGCTGCTACTTCCACGGCTGCCCCGCCTGCTTCAAATGTAATAGAGACATCCCCATGCCCGAAGACCCCTCCCAGACATTAAACACCCGCCATGAAGCCACCCTTGCAAAGATACAAAGACTTCGAGACCTCGGTTACGAGGTCATTGAAATGTGGGAATGCGAGTTTAGGCGGGATCTTCATAAGAACGACAACGAAATCCGCAACTATACTGAAAACCACCCGCTCGTAACCCTAACACCGCTAAACCCCAGAGACGCTTTCTACGGAGGCCGCACAGGGAACACGGTCGAATACTACAAGTGCGGCCCAGGCGAAAAAATCAAATACGTTGACGTATGCTCCCTTTACCCCTGGGTCTGCAAATACGGCAAGTTCCCCGTAGGCCACCCCAAGGTGCATGTGGGCGAGGAATGTCCTACAGATCTTCGCAATGTAAACGGACTTGTTAAATGCAAGATCCTCCCACCCCAGCATCTCTACCACCCGGTGCTCCCCGCCAAGATGAATAACAAGCTCATGTTTGTTCTCTGTCGCACCTGCGGAGAACACATGAACACGAGCGAAGAGTGCCGACATAGCGATGTAGAGCGAGCTCTGACGGGGACATGGGCGACGGACGAGGTGTTGAAAGCCCTTGAAAAAGGGTATCGTCTGCTGAAGATCCACGAGATATGGACCTACGACGTTCAGCAGTACGATAAGGCCACAAAGATCGGAGGTCTCTTCACGGATATGATGAACAAGTTCATCTCCGTGAAGCAACAGGCGTCCGGCTGGCCCGCCCATTGTACCACAGACGAGGAGAAGGAGAGATATATTGAGCAGTTCCTCGAGAGGGAAGACGTCAGACTGGAGTTTGCGGAGATCTTGGAGAACCCCGGTCTTCGATCTCTCGCAAAACTCATCTTGAACAGCTTTTGGGGGAAGTTGGGACAGAGGGAGAACCAGCCCAAAACATCTATTGTGAGAAACCCCGCTGAATTCTTCAGCATGCTCACAAACCCCAGCATCTACGTTAACTCGGCGCTCCCGATCAACGAAGACACGCTCGTCGTTAACTGGGAGCACAGGGAGGAGGCCTACGACCCGCTCGCTACCGTAAATGTCGTCATAGCCGCTTACGTCACTACCCAGGCACGCCTAAAACTGTACAGTTACCTGGAACAGCTGGGCGACAGGGTCCTGTACTACGATACGGACTCTGTCATTTACGTGACTAAAGACGAAGAGTACGACGTACCTACAGGCGAATTCCTCGGTGACATGACGGACGAACTGGAAGGATACGGACCCGAAAGCTACATATCCGAGTTTGTCAGCGGAGGTCCGAAAAACTACACATACAAGGTCTTCTCCACCAGAGATAATGAGGAGAAGGTCGTGTGTAAAGTTAAGGGTATATCCCTTAACTACTCAGCCTCACGACTGGTAAATTTCGATACCATAAAAGATATGGTGTTGGATACTTCCACTGCTCCGGTATGCGTGGCCTCGAGAAACATCTTGAGGACCAAGGAGCACGAGGTGGTTACAGTACAGCAAACCAAGCTATATAAACCTCTCTCCTGCAAGAGACGGTTCTTTGACGACCACAGCTCGGTGCCCTACGGTTTCAAAAGACCAAGGCTTTAACACCTGTTTTTTCTATGTATGTGTGTAACACTCTGTATATATTTACTAGCTTGTATAATTTAAATAAAAAATTAATTTTATCGCTGCTTTTAATTTTCCTCGTAATTGTGTGTGTGTCTGAGATACTAATAGTAGAGAGTTGAAAAACACTCAATTAACCCCGTCTTTCAAGTTAATTATTGCAAAGGTTAGAAATAATAGTCAGTCATATGTTTACAAGTTTTTTATTAAGGATATCTGTACATAACATTTCACCGTAATTTTTACAATTGCATTTTTTAAATAAATTCTCTGAGCTTTCATTACTGCAAAACGGCGTAAACTGTTCACGTTCTTTCACATGGACTGCAGCATGTCCTTTTCTACGATGCGCCTCCAGATGTAGTTGAACGTCTTTGGATTTGAATGCTTGTTGAAGGGGTCAAAGTCCATTTTAGATAGCAAGGCAAACGATACGGGTTCATAACGTATATAACACGAAGGCTGTTTAATTATTAATTAATATATCGTCGCGAATATTTAGCTTCCTTATCTCTCAAGGCTTTAAAGTAGAACGTGGTTTTCATTTTTATCACTACCAAGAACGAGGCGCTTGCTCAAGGTATTCTTATTATTATGTAGGTGTGTGTGTGGAGGGGGTAAGCGCTGTTTAATCTATTTCTAGCATTTTATTAACGTCATTTACAAAAATTTCAATAGGCGCGTTTACAAGTTTAAAATCGTTGTATCTGCATGTAATATACGGTATTTCGTCCTTGATACGATTAAAAAGGCTGATACTGTTGGGATTATACTCCAAATCAGCCACGACGCGCGCTTTCGGGTGCTTCTTCTGCAACCTCTTCAAGGATTGCTGGAAACGTCTTTTCTGTGTTCTAATGATATAGTACTCGGCCGATTGATTTTTCTGTATTATAGCAAACATGTGTCGTTTGTTCGGGTTAACGACCTTTGGACTTATATCTTCTACGTAATTTTCCAACTTTTCATTCCGGGTTTTTAATTCGCGCAACTTGGACATTAGAGCTTCATTATCGTGTTGGTAGTTGGTCTTGAATTCATTAACCAAATATTTTTCGATTATTTTACTGCATTTCATGTAGAATTCCGGAGATACCCAGCAAGCGATATCCAGGAACAACTCTTTGGGCAAGTAGGTTCCAGAAATAATCGTATTGTACACGGGATTCTTATTGCCTTTTACTGTTTGAAAGGGATAATTGTCCCCATCACTTTCTGATACATAATACCGCATAAGTTCTTTTGATCTTTTATTACGTAGCCAATATTTAAACTCTTTTCCACCATCCTGGCATAGCTTTGTAGCGTTAAAGTAGCCTGTGTTCTTGTCCACAATAATCTTAAAATCTCCATATAAACCGTACCAGAAACAAACATCTCTTAGACTTGACATTTTGAGCACGTCCGAACACTTTGAATGTTAGATGAAGAATGATTATAGACACTGTGATGACTATATTTTTTTTTTTTCTTAGCCCGATGCCGCTGAGGACCATTCCAGCCGATGTCTGAAGACGTCGATTGCGCAGGCGCGTGCGCAGCTCTAGACGCCGCTACACCAGGTGCACGACTCTCTGAAGAGGTAAGTTACTGAATTATTCCCATATTATGTAGCTTGTTGATAATGCCACTACAGAGCCAATGTTCTTTAGTTAAACGGCACTCTTCGATATAATAGCGTAATTCACTTACAAGTTCGTCAGGATCGTCTTCGTCACAATCTGTTTGTTCATCATCATCATTTGGTGATTGGAGAGGTCTGTATATATATTTTCTATTACAGGTACTGTTCTTGTCATTACTGTTTGTGTCGTCGTCTGCGGTTAGTTCGCTGTTATTGTGTCTGTTTTTCCTGTGTGAGATTAAGTTATCCTGTCTTGTAAATTTCTTTCCACATGTGTCACAGGGAAAAGAGGCGGCGGATTTATGCTTGTTTGCGTAGCGGCTAAGCCCGCTTTTATATGCAAAACACTTGGAGCAGATGTTACACGTATACATGTTTACTCTTTGAATAGCAGACGAGAAATGACCATGCATGCGTAGATTATATCCTTTTATTATCCTTTTATTATCCTTAATTACGTGACGGTTACCCATGCATGCGTAGATTATATCCTTTATTATCCTTAATTACGTGACGGTTATCCTTATTTTACGTGACGGTTATCCTTATTTTACGTGATGATAACGGCAATGTGACTTAGACCTGGCGTAGGTGTTATCCTTTTTTTTGATGCGTGTAGTAGTCGCGGATGATGTTTCTCCCGGATGCTCGCTCTCATACATAATCGAGATGCCTTCCTGCGAGTATTGTATCAAAATTTTTGCTGACCCCGACACGCCTAATACCATATATTCAAACGTCGAGGTTTTTCAGAGCGGGTCTATAGTCTTCATTACGTTTACAACAGGCACTTCGTTTTGGTAGAAGTGCCTGTTGAGGGGTGCAGTGTGGGGGACCTGATGCAGATTATGCTCTATGATGAAGTTGGCGATTTGGATTTAGTGGTACATTTTTATTTGTGTGAAGAAGAGGACTGTGTGCTGGTAGAGGACGATGATATAAGAGATGAGTGGGACGTAGTGATATCGCGTAGTTTAAATGCGTCAGAGGACTATTACCTAGCGGGTTTTCCCCGTGAGGAATGAGCTATTTCCGCACCACCCCGGAGGTAAGCTCACGGTGCGTTGCCTTTTTTATAGTGGAGGCATCCCCTGTAGGCCTACAACCACCATCTAACCGTTTAGTCCAGCTCGTAGAGATCTGCAGGGCCTATCAGCTCCAACAGATCTTCCTTATCCTCTTCCTTATCCTCCTTACCCTCCTCCTTATCCTCATCCTCCTCCTTATCCTCCTCCTCCTTATCCTCATCCTCCTCCTTATCCTCCTCTTGCTCCTTTGGCTCCACTACGCTAGGACTTGTTGCGAGTATTACTTTAGATGTTTTTTAAAAAAATATATATATACTTACGTCTCGGGAGTCATTTCCTCGTAGCATCTGAAAACCAATATTAAATTCTCTACAGTTTTAATCTTTTTATACTTACTGCAGATCTAATATAATCGTTCCGTCATAGCTAAAAAAAAAGAATGTTTTGTATTGCGTAATACTATTTATTTAAAAACTTACAGATAACCAGGAATTTCCCCGTATTTTTGATAGTGCCTGAAAGCTTCGATTAGACTGATTTTTTAAAAATTCATATACTTACTCTACGGTTTCTTTGCAGAAACAGAAACAGCTGTCACACACCGCGCAGTAGTACATTTTGAATAATGAAAAATAAGGAATTGCGGAAGTATTATCTGTTTTGCAAGTAATTTGCGTAGGTGGTAGAGCGGCTTGTGTATCCTGTTTTGATTAACGGAGAGAGAGAGATGTTCCCCGTATATTATCTCAAAATTCCAAATGAATCTGCTGCGTGTGGCTCGTGTAGAAACTGTTAAAGTGTGTCCCTATTGTAATCATGTTTTTGCCGTAAAAGACTTTAGGAAACATTTACGCAGGCATCGATATTGTGTGGCGTGTAAAAGACGGTTCTATAAGGTTCATACCTATAAGAGACATATGCGCCAACACCACACACACAACGTTCGTCCTTTTCCGTCTGATTGAAACTTCTAATTATTATTATTATATTTTCAGGTAGTTCCTGTCTACAGCGAACATGGCCAGACGTGTACAGCGTGGAATGCGTCAGGTATGTGTACTTTAGGATATTAAAATAATCTTCTTGTATTCGTACCTTTCCAAAGCTCCTCTTAATTTCAACCGCCTCGAGTTAATAAACAAGGAAGATCGAGCGCGTCTATTACTTGCATCTGAACATCTAGGTTTTCTTTATTTTTAAATCTTTAAATTTTAGGTCTTTTTGGTCCTCGGTAGGCTAATCATGGGTCTTCGCTGCAATCAGCGTACAAGACCTTTATTCATTTCAACAGCTGTGTAGTCGTTTTCTTTTTGAAACGCTACACTTTCCAGCGCCGCTCTCAATAATAATGAAGAAGACATCTAACCTGTTGCGTTCTATAGCAACTAGGTCTTCATCGAAAAATTTGATACTATGGACTCGCGATATAATGCTTCACGCCCCAGTGGCTGTCTAAAATATTATTGCAATTTTTCTGTATGTTTACAATAGCTTCCTCTTCCATTTTTCTACGGCTTTATGTACCTCTCCTCCATGACGAACGCATTGCACTTTCTATCAGTGAGGAGCAGTCATCGTTTCACTTTCCAGCTTCCAAATTTCTGTCTAGCAGCGAACACATACTTTAGAAAATTGTCTATAATTGCTCCCTTGTACACGACTAGTCGGTATCCACACTTTTGACAGAAATATAGCATTTATTATTAATAACTTATATATAGGTATAAATTTTTCTCAGTCTTTTTTAAAGCCGTTTTTCCTTTGAATAGCTTCGCGGCTGACATATTATCGATCAGCGGAGGTTGGACATTCTTTCCTCCCGTGAAATTCCCGTTCGATAAACATTAACATATCGATATCAGTCAAAAGTTCTAATGTCCGGCGCGTCTTAAACAGCATACAATAAAGCGTAGTAACTAGCTGGATCAAGACCGTATGTTTTATGGCACCTGCTCAAAGACATCTGCCAAAAGTAAAATGTCCGTTTTCATATATAAATCCGTGTACTCACCTAAATTTTGAATTTTGAATGTATTCCAAACTTTTTGCGCGTGTGCAAACTGCTTACTTGAAATATTCTTCTCCTCTAAACGGCTATAAAAGTGCGACTGTTCCGGTAAAGACTTGAAATTAAATTTTTCAAAACTGTCCGTGAAGTCATAGGGATACACGTTTTTTAGTTAATAAATTTGGAAACTCGGCTAAGTATGATGATAGCGTATCTAGCGACGACGTCATAAACCTAAAGGAGTCTACAAAACGAAACTTTACTGACGAATCTGCCGCTGTTTTCGTGAACGAAATGTATTTTTCCTTTGTTATCGGAA